TACGTTACTACTACGTACCGTACGTACGTACGTAACGTAACGTACGTTACGTTACGTTACGTACTACTACTACGTACGTACGTACCGTACGTACGTACGTACGTACGTACTATATATATATATATATATATAATAAAAGTAAAGAGAGAGAGAGAGAGAGAGAGAGAGGATTATGTCAGCCCATGGGCAGACTACTACAATGTCAGCCAATGACTCAGATTCAATCTGGGCTAATATGACAGTTACAATCTCATTTCGTATTTGAATTTTTCATTTTTTTAAAAAAATACAAATCACTTGAAATTTTAGATGTTCACCCTTCTCATCAAAGCTCACATAATAAAAATATAAAAAACTAATTTGTAAAATATAAATAGAACAAAATACCCTCAAAATATTTTGGGGGTATTTTGGTTAATTTATATTTTACGAATTATTGGTTTTATATTTTTATTAAATTCTTCTATTTTTGAATAATATATGCTCCAAATTTCAAATGATTTGGATTTATAGAAAAAAAAAAATTCAAATAAAAAATGAGGTCGTAACCGTCATATCGGCCCAGATTCAATCTGGGCCATTGGCTAACACTGTAGCTATCAGCCCGTGGGCTGACATGATCTTTTTATATATATATATATATATATATATATATATATATGGATATGAGTGTGAAAAAATCCCTAAATCCCTCAAAATTTCATCTCATTTCACTATGAGGTTTGGGAGATATGATCAAAAGAGTGCCGAAAGGTTATTATCTTTGGGAACCCACCGTCAATATAATTTTCAATAGTTCATTCGAAAATGGTATCATCATCATCATTATCAAACCTTTTTCAAACTATTTGGGTGGCTATACAAATCCTGGTCTACCATTCTGTTTTGTCATTATCTAGAAGTTGCTTTATAATTGAGCCAGTTTTTAAGTTCCCAACTATGAATAGTGCCTTGTCAATGGCTTTGGATTTTGAAACCCTATATCTCAAGCATCTGATATCAGAATGCCTTGATTTTATGAGGGTGTCTTGGGGGCATCTTAGGTTAAACTTCAATCAGCTTTGGTGGTATTTTGAGCTTATTTCATTGAGGTTTTGTCATCTCCCTTATCCACCATCCGTGTGACAGTTCAGCGTCCCGACAATGTTTGGAACCCAATATTTTTGGCTTAGAAGCCCCATTTCATATCTTATGAGGAAGGCCATTATTTGATTATGATAAAAACCATTTTTCAAGTTCTCAACAGGTTCTAACCGTTCTGGTGTATATGATACAGTTTGCCTGTTTGAATGGCTAACCTTATGCTTTCTATAGTTAGTGGCTTACCATTATGAAGATTCCCTTATATTCCCCACCTTTCAAGGATTTGGAGTCCTAATGTCCATCCCTAGGTTTTGATCCCAGGTTGCCAGGATAGGATGGTCACAATCTAGTCCAATCTTGTACTCCATATTTGACCAGACTAGTTTTGACGCCATGTTGGATGTCTGGATACAAAATTCACCCAAACAATATCAAAATAAAAATGAGAGCATACCACTACTACTGCATATCTATATACCGTGCACATAAATCCACCAGTGGAGTACTATTCCATCATAGAACCATAGATTATCATTATCATCGTCAAAGCTTTTTTTTCAACTTGTTGGGGTCAGCGACACGAATCTTAATCCACCATTCTACTATATTAAGGGCCATAGAGTATGAAAATATATTTTCTTAATCCAATTCATAGTCCAAATATAGAATTTTCCAAGAAGTGTTCTTATCACACACAACAAAAAAAGCCATGGAGAGAGAGAGTATAAAAAATTATACATTCAATGTAAACAGTTAGAGAAATAAGTTGACCAAGAAGCACTAGAACAGACAACCTCAAATTCCCACCACAAGGTGCTGAAAGGATGTGAAGATCTGGTTTCAACAGTGCAACGTTGGTGCTCAGTCTACCCCTCCTTTAAAGAAAAAGTGAGGCATAGCAACCACACAAACTTCATCTCTCTCAAACCAAACCAAGACTATGCAAATTCTCAGTCAATGCTTTACATGAGTGCTCTAACACTCACAACTATATAATATGCGCATACATATGAGAGAAAGATCAAATTTGAATCTTCAAGTATCTCTACAGAGGCAGAGAGAGATTTGCATTGAAAATGTTTCCCATTAGATGGTTATCATCATTATTAGTGATTGGGGTTCAGTTTTTGTTTATCCAAAATGCTTGGTCAAAGCCCTATGAGATGCCTACCAACTGCAAGAGACTAGAATGCCCTTCTTATGTGGTTCTTCACCACTTCAATGAATTTGAGATCAGGAGCTACCAGGGCCACACTATCTGGATGTCCACAAAAGAGATTAGCAGCAACTCGTATAAAGAGGCTGCCAATGAAGGCTTTGAAACGTATGTATACTCATCCGCCTTGTTCCCAAATTTCAAACATAAATTGCCGTCAGTATTTGTGGTTTTAGTACTTGAAAATTTGAACCTGGGGGGTCGTTTACTTCGTCCTAAAGTTCTTCAAGAGTAAGAACTTTTTTTCATATTTGACTTTTTTTCATATTTGTTTTATGAAAAGGTAGTATGCCCTATTGCTCTTCATCAATGCTATTTTGTAGGAAAGCTCATTTATATCTCAAAGGGGAAAATTACAAGAACCCATATTGACTCAACTTCTTTTACGGCCTCTCCTAACCGATTTTTTTAGGGAAATATGTAGACTTTATTTTTATGTTTCATTTTTCTATAGACCCAAGCTTTCAAAATATATATTGCTCTATAAATATTCTATCTATTATATCTTCTAATCCCTAAAACAACTTTACTCATTTTAAATCAATTTTTTTATCCTAAATAAATTTAAAACATACATCATTTCTAAACCCCATCTTTCTATTTTTCTTTCTTTGTCCCGGTAAATCTCCGAAACCCCTCTCTCTCTCCAAAATTTCCCTCAACTCTCCCTCCGCATGTCTATTACAAATTTTGAGATAGAGGTTTGGAAAATTCATGAGGAGAGAGAAACACATCAAGAGAGAGGGGTTTAGAAATAATGTCTTTTTAAAATTTGTTTGGGCTAAAAGTATATAATAAAAATAGGTAAAATTGGTTTAGGGGTTAAAAGATATAAAAAAAAATTACAATAAAACCCCTAAAATGATCCTTTCTAGACAACCTACCCCAATAAAGTTTTTATAAGCAACTTTTACTCCAAATTGAACTTTTCTAGCAAATACCTTCCCAAATAGAAAAAAAGTCCTATTTTTTAACAAAAATGTCCGTATTGCTGGACCGCCCTCATTTTGTGCTGGACCGCATGCCTAAAGTACCGCACCGCGCCTATTTTGTATCAGACCGCATGCTCTCCACAAGCCAAAGTCCCAGACAACTCCCATTTTGTGTTGGACCGCATGCCCAAAGTATCGGACCGCCCCCATTTTGTATCGAACCGCATGCTTTCCATAAGCAAATTGTCAAACCACCCCATTTTGCGCTGGACCGCATGCATTTCAAATGACAGTTTGGCTTTCATTTTACCTTTTTATGATTTGGGGATATTTGCTAGGAAAGTTAAAATTAGGGTAAAAAATGAGAAAAAAAGTTTGGTTAGGGGTAAGTTGCATAGGAAATCTATTCTTGGGGGTTATTTATAATTTTCCCAAGATATAATAGAAAGATTATTTTCTGGAGATAAGGTTTTGAAACATTGGGTTTATGGAGAAATAAAACCTAAAAATTGCATCTATGAAGATATTTTCTCGTTTCTTTAACGCAACTTTTATCCCAAAATTAACTTTTATAGCAAAAACCCCCCAGTGAAAAAAGCCATAGTTTGAAGGATGAAAATACCCTTACCCTACGTGAAGGCGCTACATTCCCGTAGATGCTCAATCACCAAAGACGATCCAATACATATTACTGTCAGACCTGAACCCATACTACATTAACTGTCGGACAACGATATGTCAGACTGCATACAACTTATGCCAGGCCAAGGCATCATAGTGTCGGATCGACAAAATATACTCTCTGACCGCTTTAGAATTGTCAGACCATAGGCCTTGCAAGCAACACTGCCGGACCATATGGAACATAATAACAGACCGTATGTCAAATATGCCGACCTTTGGCCCACGTTGCCAGATGGTTTTTACAAATGCCGGGCCGACGGCATTGGCATTTTGGTCCAAAGAATTATGATTATGGCAAATAATGCCCTAATTTGTTATAAAAGTTTGTTTCGGGATAAAAGTTACAATAAAAAAAATGGTTAGGAAGAAGTTGTCTAGAAAGTTTAATTTAAAAGATATTTGTAATTTTTCCTAAAAACTATGTACTAATTTTCCATTGGCGGACCATGTAATGTGTGAGAGCTCTCTCAGGGAGAGAACTTCCACATGAACCAAATGACCACAATGTTTAGAGAATGGTAAGATCCATATGTGTATAAGAAATTTATGCTCATGAGTATCCAATGCCTTCTAATTGATGGATGGACCGTGTGATGGAGAGAGTGAAACCCATGACATGTATTATACTGGTGGATCCCCTCTCTCCAAACTGGCCAAAGGAGTTGGATAGTGATGAGGGAGAGCAGGGTGTACACTGCACAAATGTACTTGTAGCAGGGCTCATTATCCTTCAATCACCATCCAACCTACTAATGCGATGGTGCTAATCATTATGAATAAAAATTTAAAATGTTGAAAAGCAAAATAAATAAATAAGTTATATAAAAATGACATTTTCTCATTTTTGGCTTTTTTCTTCTTTGATTGTTTGATCTTCTTCCTAACATATAGTGTGCTTATTTCTCCTAATAAATTGAAGACGATTAATAAAATACCGGTGATTTCTTAATTCTAAATTTTAAATAATTTAGGTCCCAGTTTTCTCTAACAAATATCATTTTAAAAAGGATGGATAGTTGGTCCAACTTCGATATCAGCTTTGAGAAGTATATTTTATTTTGGAAAAAGTTATTATAAAGTTGCAACCTTAAAAAGTAGAATTAAGGTACATGTCAAAAATCCATCGAAAAAAGATGTTTGAATGTTGAAAAACCTCTAATTGATCATCTCACCATCTAAATATGAAAAAAAAAAAGATTTCCATCTGCCTAATTCCCACCTCATTTTCGCCAGACTCTTTGACTATATACAAGGCAAGAACAATGTCCACATGAAAATTGAAATGACGGCACCGGTCCTTGTCGATATTGTCCCATCATCAAGCCCTCTCTGCAACTCCACTTTCGCCGTAAAATTTTATGTGCCCAAAAAACACCAGAAGAAGCCACCAGTTTCCAGTCAAGTCGAGCCGGAACAGTGGCCAGGAAATCAATATGTAGCAGCTAGAAGATTCGGAGGTTTCATGAATGACTCAAATGTAGCAATGGAAGCATTGGCTTTGAAGGAGAGCTTGGAGAAAAGCCCATGGGCTTCTAGAACTTCTTTAAAACGAAGGAAGGGCAGTTCTGAGTTCACAGTTGCTGGGTATGATTCCCCATATGAGTATGACAATAGGGTCAATGAGGTTATGATATTTTTAAATGATTATTGATGGGTGTACAAGAACTTTATTAAGGGAAAATAATATGAAAAGTCTCTCTCCCTCTCTCCTCTTTTTTCTCACTTGCACAAACAAGAGGAGACTGTTGCATAACTGCCATTAAGAAATCATGTCTTATCTCTCCTCTCTCTCTTTACTCTTTTCTCATCCCTTGCTTTGCACCTTGAGAATGAAGATATAATATTGAGAAGGTTTTGGTTGGAAGCTCGGGATATTTGTGGTAATAAGGTAGTGGCTTTCAATCATGTCTTTAGGAAAGCGAATGAGAAGGCAAACTCGTTTGTTAAGGATGGAGTGTTAGCCCCGTCTTTGGTGCTCAATTCTTTATCCTTTTAATTGTTGTGCTCTTCATCTCTTCAGTGTAATCTTTGGATTGATTGAGAAGTAAAGTCATTGTGACCTTGTCAAAAAAAACAAAATACAATTAACTATAAAACATTTCAAAAGTTTAATCAGTGAAAAATGCATAATTCTGGCCTCAGAAGAGAATGTAATACCTAAAAAGAGCCAAAAATGCCTTCTCTACTCTATTTTTTTGTAGGGTTGCAAGCAGAAGGATCCCACTAAAAGAAAACATATAATGAGCATGTCACAAAGAACACTCGTTTTTGCATTGACAACAAGACGGCAGATGTGCCGTTTTGAATTGAGAAGAAGAAAGGTACACGAGCCTTTGTGAATTGAGAACAAGAAAGGTATATTTAGCTTCCCAATTATGCTCATCCAAATATTTGATTGAGCCCACCTAAAAAGAGACTTCCTCTAAAACCTTTGAGTTTGGGTCTATATCTAATTTTTACTTGACAAAAAGAGGATACTAAACCAAATCAGACTAGACCATTGGTTTTATTGCTTTATCTCTTCTTATGATGTAGCTTTCACTTCTTTCCTGAGTATTTCTTAATGTACCTAATGTAATATCTTTTATTTCTAATGAAATCAGAGAGGGGACTAATTTCTCAGTTGACTTGCCCAAAAACAATTTAAGAAAGCACTCCTTCGCAAAAGCATGTTGGGTGGATTTTATAAATCCAAATTTTGCCACACACTTTCTTCATCTCAACAATCAATCTCAAGTGAATTCCCACCTTATAAAATCTCAGAATGAGTATGCACCAATAATGAACCTCCATCGTTCATTTGGTTGATTACAACTACAAACTCCCTTTTTACAAGGGGAGGAACGTGATCATTTATTTTACTTTAGGGGGGCTAATTTAGCGGGGGTTTTGGCCCAACCAAAAGTGCATTAATATAAAGATGAATTTACAATAATTTACAGAACTGAAGTCCCTAATTTTTATTTTTATTTTTCCATCTGGTAACTAACATTAAACTGAAATCCTAGTTTGGAGGAAAAACATAAATGGGTACACACCCTTCCACAATTTCGTTTTACGGGTAAGAAGCTCGCTCCACAAATTACAGAATCCCTATAGATCCATCTGGAAAAGGTCTACAAGGATAATGCATTAAATTTAACCGTGTAACATGCCTCAAGGAAAAGACTCTTCACCATATTTTCGAGCAAGCTAGGGTAGTCCCCCTCTTGCAGGGATAAGGTCGGCCATTTCACTGTTCATTAATTCTATAAATATTGAAAAATGGGGGATGTAAGAGGTAGAACTTAACTGGCTAAACAATTTAAACTTTTCAGTATAGAAGCAAACAACAATTGAATGCATGAGATTGATTCAATTGGCAAGGCATCAACGCTCAAACACCTGAGATTGATTCAATCAGCAAGGAATTAGGCCATTTGCCTGCTCATAACACGGAAATTTTCCTTCTGGCCATTTTGTTGTGGGATGTAAGGACAATGCAGAAAATGATGATGTTAGCAGTGAAAAAAAATTTGCATCTCACAAGATCTGCATTAATCCCAGGAAATAGTTCAATTTGGGTTTGGTTTAAAGCATTGCTGTGAAGGTTTGGATAGTCACCTTCCACGCATCCACAGATCAGAACTTGGTTGTCCTACTAGGTCAGATCATAGAATTCAAGAAATACACATTGAGAATTCAAATACAATAAAATATTTCCCTTACGATAGCTCCAAGCCCTCCTCAATGGGGCAATGGCAGACATACAGATAGAGCTAAAACACTCTTGTAACATCTATAAATTACACCTGTTCCCTATGGTGATACAAGTATACAAATCAATTACAGTAAAGGGGGGACACTTCTAGTCAGTCCTCAAAATGAGAAGAAGCATGGAAAGGATCGAGCAATCCTAAAACCACACCAGAGGAAAAACCGTCAACTCTCCGACTTTCGAAATCCCACCCCAAATTAAGATTCTCGCCAAAAAATCCTACACATCTCTGACTAAAGTTTCAAGAGACAAGATCAGCTTCATCCATACCTGGAGAAACCAAAATCCAACCTCATCATGCCCCTAAATTCAATTCCTCTGGAACTGGTGCCCCAGCTTGAACACAGAGCTCAACAATGGCTGGTGCCTTACCATAAAACCTCTTTAACTCGTTGCTTAGTGGAGAACCATTGGGATCTGCAGTGTGCCACACATATTTGGGGAAAATCAAATCCTCCATTGTAGCCTCTTGCCAAGCATGTTGGCCATTGCGTTGCTGGTGCTTGAAAACCTCACACATTCTCACCTTGGGCCCAACCTGAACCTCAAAACCATAACCACAAGTCTTCACTGAATACTTCTTCATGAGCTTCTTTGCTCCTTCCCTCATCTTAAACCATGAGTTCATGGTCTTAGTGCTCAATTCTCTCACATCTTCTTCTCCACTTTCAAAAGAAAGAATGCTCAATTCTCTTACATCTTGTACATTTTCAGAAGCAAATACTCGAGACTCTAACTGAAAACCATGAGCTGAACTTGGCTTCAATCTCTCATTTTCAGAGAATTCTCTCAAAGTCTCTTTTCTGAAGTCAGGAGGAAGGTGATTACGTACGAATGAATCATGGATCTCTGAATTACCTCCCAGATAGGATTTGGATCCTTTTAATGAACTGGAATTTTCTTCACGTTCAGGAGTAAGCCTAGTGTGACAAAGCAATTCATTGGTCGGCGAGTTATTGGCCGGATCATTGCATTGTAAGCTCTCACCTGAGCATAATTGGGGCCTTTTCTCCGAGTTCAATTTCCTTGAATTCTCTGCTCTCACCTTAAAATCAATTGGCAAGTAAATGAAATCATAAGTTCGTCAGTGGCATCCATCAATGGCATCCAGTAACATCTTTGATGTGTATATATGGATGAACCCCAAATAAAGAATCAGATAATCCAATATCAAACATAAAAATACCATATACATGCATGCAACCCGAAAACAACATAAAAAGAGGTCACATCTAGACGAGAGTAACAATAATTAATTTTGATAAAAATCATAGTAACAATAATTAACTTAGTAATATCTGTGCCTTGTTCACCTTTTATTTGTTTAGAATGTTTAACAAATTTTTAGTTTTGGACAGAATCATGGTCGTACTGAAACAAAAAATGACAATGAAAAGATAGCCAAACTTATATCTTTTGATATTTTGTGAATGCAGAGATACCAACTTTCTAAACAATAAATTATTTCAAGGAACCTTTAACAAATCTTATATTGGAGTTTTTTTACAAAGGACTATAAACTGAATAACGTACAGTCTCAGTTGCAGTTCCCATGGAGTCCAGACAATCCTGGAAATAGGATTTTTTCCACTAACTTATTACAGTATTTACAGGGTCAAAGATGAGTTTCAGCTAAATTTTTAAAAGAAAGCATATTATAACTCAGTATACTAAGAAAAAACCATTGTCCACTTGATCATAACAGGCCATCACTCAAATCAATGGCGATGGAGAGAGAGTAGGACACACCAAAACAAGGCAGGGTCCCAATGGAAGATTGAAACAATCTCCATCTCCATTCATCACTGGACAGGGATGACTAAATCAACAGTGGTTTTTCCGTAGCCCATTAACAAGTAGTACACTTTCCCAGCTTTTAGTTTAAGGATGTCATAAAGGTATATAGCAGGACCATCTACTTGTTAGGAATGTTCTTGATCATAAACGTGGTTCGTATGTCTTCTCCCCGCAAGATTCGATCAATGTCAAGCTCATACTGCTTCTTATTGTCAGTTTGATTAGAACTTGCCTCGTTCCTACGACTCCTAGCCCGCTCTGTGGGATTGTCAAACGGAGCAAGCATACCCATCATTGGGCATCTTGGAGGGTACATGTGGTGATGTTAAGGAGAAGGCAAACCTAGATTTGGAGAGGACAATGAAGGATTCATATTGTTTGCACCATGCTGCCCAAGCAAGTTATGAGCAGCGAGTTCTACGAGATGCAAACCAGAGCTCCCAGCAAAGCCCACACTTCCAAGAGAACCTGGGTGAAATCCAGAAGCATCGGCTGATTCATTTGTATAACTATGTCTTCTGTCCCAAAGGGAGGGATTCATAACAGGTGCTGAACCCACATGGTGGTGATGAAGAGAAAGAACAGGGTTTATGACGTGGCCATCAGCACGAGGAAATCCATGCAATTGAGGGGGTCGACTGTGAACACCATTAACAAACGATGGGGAGCTTGACCACATCATGGGTCCTGGAGCATGAGGATGGTGATATGCATTAGGGTTTCCCCAAACAAATTGGGTCCATGTAAAGGGCAGCTTTCATTTCCTGAAACACCGACTAAGAGATAGTATAAGATCTTTATATTTAATCAAAAAATTCCCCTAAGGCAAGAAATAGATTAAGCAATATTTAAACAAAAATTCGTTCTTACAGAATATGTGATTAAAAATAAAAAATAAAAAATAGCACGAAAGTCTGAGCAAATTCCATTCTTAATCAGGCTTAAAACACACTTAGTAGCCCCTCACACATTGAATAGAAGAAATCACTAACAAGTTATAAGTACAAATACAAATCTCCAAAACATAACGCAACCAGTTCATTAGTGTCTACTTCAACTGAGACATGACTGTTCCAGGCATTGACTGCCAAAACTAACTCTAAAAATGCAGACATCATTCTCTTTGTTTCTCATGAATTCCACTAAAGAAATGCAAGCAGGCATTCCGCATCATAAGCTCCAGATAAAAGCAATTCAGTCTTGTAAGGAACGTAAAGAGCAGAGTAAGGTTTCTTCTACGGTTTTCATTCATCTCATAAGAATGATTGTTGAAGCCATTAGAACCCCTTGCATGGATTGCCCTGCCATCAACTCCTTCAGCTGGTCCGGAATTTATATTTACAGCTAGGCCAGATATGGCACCCGGAGAATTATAGGGAACACTATTGCTGAGACCATTGTCATACTCTAGAAGCGAGTGAGGATGGAAAGCTGGCATGCCTTGAAAACCGAAGTTCATATTGTGGCCCACAGAATGGCTTTGCTCACTGAGACTACTGTCATGGTTGGCAGCTGAAGCAACCCCAACCGGTGAGGATAACGCATGGGGAACACTTGAGGAGATCCCATGATATGGGGCATCCATGTACGGACTTAAAGGTGCTTGGATGGTGGAATGCTGACCTTGGATAGCCCCGTTATCTAGAGAGCCAGGTGTAAAAGTTCCATGTGGGAACAAGCCTGCAGGTTGGGCAACGACTTTGGTAGAGCTAATGATGTATTTAATGAATTAAAGAAGGGAAAGTTTTTGAAAGATATGGAAAATTTAACACTTTACAGATATCTTTTGGTTTAATTTCGAAATACCCATGAAAGAAAGTTGGAATAGTTGCAAATGGGTAAATATTAAATAGTTCATCACTTATGAGTATTTTAGTAAATTTTCCATTAAAGAATTTAAAATGAGTGAAGCATACTATATTCAAGGGACTATGGATGGTCACCACTCTCTAAAATGATCGATGTTGATAGAGAGTGTGGGGACTACCATTGAGGTAATCTCCTGTTTTGGTGGTCCTGTCCTCCATCAGCAGTCCGCAATTCATGGGTGATGACCCCAATGAATTATAGCTTCCCTTAGTCCATTATATTATCAAAATACTTATTCAAAACTAATGGACAAGTAAAAGTGGCTAGGGTTATACCATAGCATCCAGAAGGTGAGTTATCAGGAGGGCGGCATGCCCTAAACAATTTAAACTTTTGAGTGTAGAATTCTGCAAACAACACTTGAATGCATGAGATTGATTCAATTGGCAAGGAACACTCAAACACCTGAGATTGATTCAAGCAGCAAGGCATTAGGCCATTAGCCTGCCCATAACACGGAAATTTTCCTTCTTGCCATGTTGTTGTGGGATGTAAGGACAATGCCGAAAATGATGATGTTAGCAGTGAAAAACAAATTTGCATCTCACAAGATCTACATTATTCCCATGAAATAGTTCAATTTGGGTTTGGTTTAAAGCATTGCTGCGAAGGTGTGGATAGTCACCTTCCATGCATCCTCAGATCAGAACTTGGTTGTCCTACTAGGTCAGATCATAGAATTCAAGAAATACACATTGAGAATTCACATAAAATAAAATATTTCCCTTATGATAGCTCCAAGCCCTCCTCAATGGGGCAATGGCAGACATACAGATAGAGCTAAAACACTCTTGTAACATCTATAAATTACACCTGTTCCCTATGGTGATACAAGTATACAAAACAATTACAGTAAAGGGGGGATACTTCTAGTCAGTCCTCAAAATGGAAAGAAGCATGGAAAGGATCGAGCAATCCTAAAACCACACCAGAGGAAAAACCGTCAACTCTCCAACTTTCGAAATCCCACCTCAAATTAAGATTCTCACCAAAAAATCCTACACATCTCTGACTACAGTTTCAAGAGACAAGATCAGCTTCATCCATGCCTGGAGAAACCACATCCAACCTCATCATGCCCCTAAATTCCTCTGGAACTGGAGCCCCAGCTTGAACACAGAGCTCAACAATGGCTGGTGCCTTACCATAAAACCTCTTTAACACGTTGCTTAGTGGAGGACCATTGGGATCTGCAACGTGCCACACATATTTGGGGAAAATCAAATCCTCCATTGTTGCCTCTTGCCAAGCGTGTTGACCATTGCGTTGCTGGTGCTTGAAAGCCTTACACATTCTCACCTTGTGCCCCTTGGGCCCGACCTGAACCTCTAAACAATAACCACAAGTCTTCACTGAATACTTCTTCATGAGCTTCTTTGCTCCTTCCCTCATCTTAAACCATGAGTTCATGGTCTTAGTGCTCAATTCTCTCACATCCTCTTCTCCACTTTCACAAGAAAGAATGTTCAATTCTCTTACATCTTGTACATTTTCAGAAGCAAATACTCGAGACTCTAACTGAAAACCATGAGCTGAACTTGGCTTCAATCTCTCATTTTCAGAGAATTCTCTCAAAGTCTCTTTTCTGAAATCAGGAGGAAGGTGATTACGTACGAATGAATCATGGATCTCTGAATTATCTCCCAGATATGATTTGGATCCTTTTAATGAACTGGAATTTTCTTCAAGTTCAGGAGTAAGGCTAGTGTGACAAAGCAATTCATTGGTCGGCGAGTTATTGGTCGGATCATTGCATTGTAAGCTCTCACCTGAAGGTAATTGGAGCCTTTTCTCCCAGTTCAATTTCCTTGAATTCTCTGCTCCGTGTTCATGAGGAGGCCTGGAATAAGAAAGTGAATCATGGGTCTGCAAGTTATTGTCTTGAAATGGCTCAAAATCTAGAACCCTTCCGTCGGCAATATAAACAGGCCTGGTTCTTCTTCTGGTTGGGTAATCTTCAAGGTCTAGACCAGCCTGAATACAGAGCTCCACAATGGCAGGAAGCCTCTGAACTTTGAATCTTTCATCATGAACAACTCTTGGTCTTCCTGCTCTATCATAGAGATGGAAACAATGGGGAAAACCCACCACATCTTCGATTCTTCCCTTCCTCCATACATGCGTATGGCTCCTGAAACCACTTTTGGGGCCTGTGCATGTCCTTATTTCATAGCCAATGGAACCGATATGGACCTCATGGCAGAACCTGAAAGGAATTCCAGAAGCTCAGAGAGAATACAGAGAGAGAGAAAGAGAGAGAGAGAGAGAGAGAGCATACCTGCATCTTTTAACAGGAACCACACCATAAACAAGCTTCGAGAGACCATCGAGAAGTTTAAGTCTAGCCCCGTAAACTTCGTATGCGATGGGAACGAGCTCTGGCACTAGAAGACCATTATCAGGGGGTGGAAGAACCCTAAAATGATTGGCCTTTCTCTCTTCTTTTTCCTGCTTTGCTCTTTGTATGAGGACTTTCATAGGTGTTGGATATGGCTTCCTCTGAGCTTTGGGCAATGGCAAGGGCAAATCAACATTTTGCAAGTCTTCATTTGATTTACAGGAATACAGGGATGAATTGAACCCTGGTTTCCTCAGTCTTATAGATTGGAAATAAGAAATCCTAGAAACCCACCTAAGCATCCCATCAAAGGAAAGAATGATTACTTCCAGTTGCAGATATCAGGAAACGCTTGAAGACGAAGCTCACATTTTCAGATGAAGATAGCCATTTTTTAACTTTGTCCATAGAAGAGAGACAGAGACAGAGTATCCCTAAAATCAGAGCATCTCTCAAAATATGTATGAACCAAAGTAAAAACGCATGATCTTTATAAACCCAATCTCTCTAAAAACCAATTCTCACTTTATAGAAACCCATCTCTCTCGAACACATTTTTTCTTACCAGAAACCCAACGTCTCTTTCTCATAAAACAGTGTTTTAAAAATCGGCCACACGCAACCATCTCGTCCGAGTCGAGAATAGGCGACCCACGTCCATTTAATATAAGTTCAAACGGGAAAAGCGCATCTCAAAATTCTTTATCAAAACAGATGAAGTGATAATGTAATACTCATATTTTTTATTGAATTTTTAAAAAAATAATATTTATAATAATTTTTAATAATTTTTTCAAATTTTTTTTTAAAACTTAATTGGATTGATTCGTCCGATTCTCGATCTGAATCACCGATACGAATGGGTTTTTGAAGAGACCGATCCGAAACACCGATCCATTTTTTAAACCATTGCTATAAAATATAAACCCAATATCTCATTCTCTATCTCTCGAACACATTTTCTCTTACTAAAAACCCAATATCTCATTCTCTTTCTATAAACCCAATATCTCTTTCTCTTTCTAAAACCTAATCTATCTTTCTCTCTCTAACTATTATCTCTTTCTCGAAATTCATTCTCCTTTTAAAAATGATCCTCTCGTTCTAAAAATCCAATCTCTCTTTTTTTCTCTAAAAATCCTCTCTTTCTCTCTAAAAACACAAACTTTTTTCCTATTTTAAATCCGATTATCTCTCTCTAAATATTTATTTCTCTTAAATTCCAATCTATCTCTCTCTAAAGACATACTCTCTCTTTTAAAAACCTTATATATATTTCTCTATCTAGCAATCCATTTTATGTAGAAACCAATATCTCTCTAAAAACCCATTTGCTCTCTAGACACCCAATCTCTCTTGCTCTCTCTAAAACATATTCTCTTTCTAAAATCCAATCTCTCTCTCTATAAAACCCATTCTCTCTTTAAAAACTCAATCTCCCTTTCTCTATCTAAAAACCCTCTTTCTAGAAACCCAATCTCACTTATCTCTCTAAAATTCCAAGCTCTCTTTCTTTCTCTAGGAATCCAAGTTCTTTTTCTCTCTCTATAAATTAATTTCTTTCTCTTTGAAAACCCAATCTCTCTATCGCTCTCTAAAATCAATATCTTTCTCTCTCTAAAAACACAATCTCTCCTCTCTCTAAAAACTCATTATCTATCTAGAAACCAATACATCTTTTTCTATCTAAAATCTCAATCTCTCTGTCTCTAAAAACCCAATCTCTGTTTCTCCCTCTAGAAACCCAATATTTTTAAAAAAAATTTAAAAACTATTTTTGACTTATACCAACAATAATAGTTTGAAGAGTGAAATAAAAACAAGGTGCAGTCTGCATAGGGATGCATTCGTAGGTGTAGAGGTAAAGTGCACCTTCAAAATTTATCATGGTGTATAATTTTGATGTAAAATGTTTTTAGGATTATCTCAAAATCTATTTTTGTATCTAATTATAAAATTTTAAGTTTCAAAATTGTCAAAATCAAGTAGATTGATAAACATATGAAAATCTTGAAAATGGACGGTGTGGATAATATGTTGTAAAATGCACTATTTCTGATACTTAAAATCTTTTTATTTTCCATAGTCATACATCTCGATGTCGAGATAAACAGTCAAAGCGTTTTTCAACATTAAAACTACCTTTTTCGATGAATTTTTTAGGGGCATCCGTAGTTGCACATTATAAGGTAGCATCCTTGTATACACTTTTTCCATAAAAAAATAAAAAAACGGGGGACTTCTTAATGGGCTGAACCAGGCCCAGGCCTAATATATTCTTTTTAGGTTGGTTTGGGCTGGACCAGGCTTTGATAGTACATAGTATGTAGGTCCAGGCTGGGCCGGGTTTTGATTGTACATAGGATGTAGGTACGATTCTTGAAAGATAGTACAAGGATGTAGGCTGGGCCGGGCTTTGATAGTACCTACGTAGGATGTAAGCTGGGCCGGGCTTTGATAGTACCTACATACGATGTAGGTACGATTCCAATTTCTTAGATTTTAAACACTTTTTATGGAAATTAATTTCATAGGTAAAAAGATTTCTTACTCTTGTGAATATAGTTATTTTCTAAGAAAATTTTCATACGAACCAAGCGTGTCCTTATTTTTCATTGATTTTCTATGAAATCAGAGGTATTTTACTCTATTTTTCTACCATGTATCTGATCATTGCGAAAACTTTCATCTAAACCACGAAGGGAAGAATACAAACTACTCAAACAGGAACCACACTCTCCTCATCGAAGCATTTTCGGCAATTTCATCAAATTATCTACAATGGATATCATTTTTTTTAATGCAAAATGCAATAATCTCATTTTAAATAAAAAAAAAAAATAGCTGGCTTTTTATTTTGTTCAAGCTCCGAACAATTCTCTTTTTAACCCTCTCGTTGACTCAACCGAGTTGCATCAAAATCACCAGTCCGATTTGACCAAGAAACTCCGATCCGGCATGATCAAGCAGGAACCACACTCTCCGCATCGAAGCATTTTCGGCAATTTCATCAAATTATCTACAATGGATATCATTTTTTTTAATGCAAAATGCAATAATCTCATTTTAAATAAAAAAAAAAAATAGCTGGCTTTTTATTTTGTTCAAGCTCCGAACAATTCTCTTTTTAACCCTCTCGTTGACTCAACCGAGTTGCATCAAAATCACCAGTCCGATTTGACCAAGAAACTCCGATCCGGCATGATCAAGCAGGCAACTGAGTCCGGGGCCCGATCCAATTTTTTAGACCCCCGGATTTACAAAAGAAGCTATCTATCCGTAGCTACAGAAGAATTGAAATTCAAGGATCCATAGTACAATCTCTGCGATTCATTATGAATGGAATGGTTGATCCCCCACGGTCCACAATTGAAAAATTGGCAATGGAGATCAAGTGGACACCAATAAAGATTGTTAATATTCGTCAAAAAAAAAACCAAAAAAACCATACCACATATAATTTACAGCATACTACATGTGAATATGGTATATAATGTCCAAGAGAGCCCACAATCAATCTATTAAAATGCAACATACCATCCTATAGTCCATATGCACAAATTCTGCCAACTCGAGAAGCGATATTTTTAATGTGGGATAGAGTTTTTAAACTCTCTATGCACTATGTTTCTCACTCATACATCTATCTCTCTAGTCAAGAGATTTCATGCCCCAAAGAAAGCAGACTGAAGACTTACTCTCTGGAATAAATCTCACAGTATTTTCAATACTCCAAAATTTAAGGATGTATCATGTTCAATCTAGCCATTAACTTAAGATTGGGATTCTTGAGCTTGAAAAAAGATGTCCTAAAATTAAACAGACTGCCCCATTTTTGGACAACCAGACCCTGTTAAAAAACTCGAAACCATTTTTTTTCTTGAAAATAATAGTCTAGTAATGCTTAAATGGATTCCAGAATTTCAAACCAAAAAATCCCCTTACGATAAAACTTCAACACTTCACCGACTCCCGGCTCAAACTTGCGGCTCAAACTTGCCCAAGTCACTTTGACCCAGGACCTTGCCAGGTCCCAATTACAACAAAATTTGGGCGAGTCTAATGAAGCCAGAGATTTCGTGTGCATCTCTCATTAAGGGTCGGCTGAATTTCTGTAAAAGAAATATAGAAGAATATCTGCTACGTTGGTGTCTAACCGGGGGCTGATCGTAGCAAGCCCAGACCTGAGCCTGGGTTTTTGATCAACGGATACAATGGTACAAAAATTAAAAGGCGGCAAGGATCAGAAAATATGAACAAGTGGTTCTGAGTAAGAAAAACAGATAAAATGAGCGACAATCAGATCTTTTGTGACCGCCCATCACCAACTCTTTATTCAGCATGGATGAAACATTAAAGATGTGACATGGCCTCAATCCACATAGGGCAAGCACCAAAGGGAGAGAGAAAGAGACCTGAACCATAGAGACCTGAACCATAAATATATAACTACATATAGACCCAACCCTTCAGATGCACGTCAACCATAAATATATAACTACATATAGACCCAACCCTTCAGATGCACGTCAAAAATTCATAAAAATACACCGACCCTTCCATATTACATTCATTCTTTCCACTCCAAAACAGAACCACAAAGGCTCTAATCTCACACAAGAAAAATAAAACAGGAGGACATGGAGAGAGAAGCCCTCAATAACAGCACAAAAAGAAGAGAGAGAAACTGAAATAACAAAGACCGACCACTGAAACTCCTCCTGTACATACTTTCACGCCAAGCTCTTGTACACCCGTCTTCTGCCTCGTCAGCCTCTTGATATCAAAAATATTTCAAAACTTCGGCTCACCCACAAAAAATTGTGTCAGCCCAAAACCCGTAATTACTCAAATTCTGAGGAAAAAAAAGAGAAAAAAGGAAGAAAAAAGAAAACCGGTCCAAAGATACCGGTTTTCTGGTTCCCACTTTGCTGTGTAGTTAGTGATATTGATTATGAGAGGCTCTTGCAAGGGGTCATTCTCCATCCTTTGAGGAGTCGTTACCATTAGAAGAGTCATCCCCTGTACCAGAGGTCGGAGGGCTCCCTTGAGAGATCTCCTCATTGCTGCTTGATCTCGATTTGCCTGGCCTTGTTCGGACATTTACACCCATTGGAAATGGCTCCTGTGAAATTAAAAGTGACAATCATTACAATCTGCCAATCAATCAACCGATCTATCAATCTAGCTAGCTATCTCTGTGTATGTATGTGTGTACTAAAAAGAGAACCATTTTGTTTTAAATTTTTTAATGGATGAGAAAGAGATGAAATAAAAGAAATAATACAAGACAAAAGCTATGCAGACATTATGATTGATCTTATTTCACCGTACATTACTAACTTTGTACAGGGTTCATTGCATGTTTGCAATTATCTGCATACAGGACTGTGCACACATGCATGTGAGGAAGTGTCCTGAACATGCATGCACATTGTGTATACTGTTACGAGGACTTTCGAATCATAAATTACGAAGTTTGCAAGCAGCCATCTGTGTGTACATGTCCAAGATTCTAGTGGTGTTAGCTGTATAAAGCCGAACCAAAAAAAGGTGATGTCAAACATGGGTGAGCAAGTTATAGAGATGCATATCTAAGTCTTGTTAATGATACATCTAGGAGACCCTTGCATCCGCTTGAGAAATTGGAATGCATGTCCCATCTTCATTTCATCTATAGAGGCCATTAGGGAAGCCTCATTGACAAAGGATACTTGAAAACATATTGTTTGCATCTCCGCCATAATTTGGGAAAAGTGCACAGATGACTTAGTGTATGTACCTTTCAGATTCAAATAACTCAGTGATATGGATGTGTAGCCACCAAATGTGTCCACTTATGATCATGCTTCCCTCCAAAGAAGAGGGAATTCCACAAAAAATTGTTCCAGTGACAAATACGAGAAGATTTCTTTATTTGAGAGTTTATGCCATCAATAATGATTGGGAAGAGGATGTGGAATACTACTTTCCATCTAAGTTGATTGTTTGGACATGAAAAGGCTTAAATTCACATCTTCAACAAAATCCAGAAGTTCAAAGCAGTGCTCGAAAATCACTGATCCAAACAAAATCCATGAGTTTAAAGCAGTTTTGAAAAATCACCAATCCGAATCTGGCTTGATTCAAATCCAGATCAGGAGGTGGGCAATTCTGGTTTAAGGAACCCTAGAACCACCCCAATATCCCAGTTTGTTTTCCTTAGTTTATTTGTATTATATAGCCCAACCCGACTCAGGAATCGCCGGAGTAGGACAGGCATATCAGAGTTGGACACTGGACGATTCAGGGCCTGATTCAAATTTCTAAAATACTGGTTTAAAGGCTAGATTCTTGTAATTTTTTTTATGGTTTGAATACTTGGTTAGTTTTATATATGGGGAATCAACAAGAAATATCCAATGGATAGAAGCATTTGATGTACCCAACATTTTTTATCAGCATGAACATCACTTTGTCCCCACAAACTTCAGGTATAATTTCATGAAAGCTGACCACCACTGTCTATTATCCTGATGCCCCCACCTAGGCCTCGCCACCCACTATCATCTCTCATCCTTTCCTACCGTATGTGTCATACTTTACAACTCCATCATACTCAGGCCTAGCAGTTACTAAATTATCCAGGCTCTACACATCATCCTTCTCCCTACTCTGCCTAGTCACTCAACACCCATTCAAGTTACTTGTATTTACCACATGTTCGTGACTCTAAATCACAGACATAGGATCCATCCATGCTAGATGTTCTAGCTTCCTGTTCAAACTACATACTTTAAAAATCTTCCTCACCATTATTCAGAAAGCTTGCAACTTGAGGACCTTCACCTAGATGGCACATCAAGCAATAGGTGGTTGTTCCCATCGTCTCAACATCCAATGGAAATGTCCTTTTCTTTTGACATTCCAATAGTGTTATCCTCAATGGAAAACACATGTTCATTATACTCAACAAGCTGACATGAATTACCAAGAGACCCCATTCCAACTGGCAGCAAAAATCCCAGGATAATGGAATAGAGCAGCAGCAACACTCCATGATAGGGATTCAAAATTTCAAACATTTTCACTATGAAGTAAACATTTTTGTAACAAAATTTATCTATCAACTCTTTAGAAATCATTACTCAACTGAAGGCTTAAAATGAACTCCAATATGGAAACCAGCTAAGTGGACAAGCTGATGATTGAACAGGATCAGCAACCACATCATGTTAAAAAACCGGTCCTTTCAAGGAGAATTCAGCTAAAAAAAAGACTAGATATAGAGGAAAAAATCAATCACAACAACAAATATTTTCAAGCAATCAGTACTAACTCTAAACAATAAGGCCTCCTACTTTTTATGCTTTAATTTATTTTCTGTTTTCCTTTCCTTTCTTTTCCACCACTAACCAATTGAACCATACCCGAGTGAATCTCGGTCTAAACATATGTATGCATGATCCCATCTCCAAAGCTAAACAACTAACATAATTCATGAAAAAGATTGCCATTCTTTCTTATAGATATTCAAGTTTGGAAAAAGAAACTCCAAACCTGAAGATTGAGCAAGAGAGAGAGAGAGGTCTGCTCATTTGTGAAACCAAAAATCCTCAGGACCAGAAACAAAGAAAAAAACAAAAAGAACTATGCTGCATATGAATCACAAATTGGCCTATTCATTTTAACTCCTTAAACATCACGAACCACAGCGTCAGACTATATCTGGAGAAGGGCAAAAAGGGAATCCAGTAACGGCAGAACAAAGCATGTTACCTGGTCACCAGCATTTGGACCATCTGAATGGAAAAGAATAGGCCGGCATCGTTTATCTTCATTCATCAAACTTGAATTCTGGAAGTGAGCAATGAGAGCAGCTTTCCCCTGTATCCGCGCATAGGCAAGTGATGCCACTTTTTCACTATTAAACTTCTCCCATTTCTTACCATCAAATGCCTGTAAAAATGATAAACAAATCATTTACGCACAAGCACTTGCACAAGAAGACATTACTGAAACAAAGTGAAACTGCCGAAAAGACATACCTCAAAGAATGGAACGATCTGCATAGGATCAGTCATGTTGATGAATGCATAGCCAACATTGCATTTATTCTTGAGGAAGGAGATTAATATAGTGTATCAGTTGCATGGCCACCCATTTATTAAAGATGAACAAAACTACTCCATGAGCAAAGCCTGGAGAACCAGTAAATACAACAAAATCCTCACCTTAAAATCAATTGGCAAGTAAATGAAATCATAAGTTCCTCGGTGGCGTTCATCAATGGCAGCCAGTAACATCTTTGATGTGTATCTATGGATGAACCCCAAATAAAGAATCAAATAATCCAATATCAAACATAAAAATACCATATACATGCCTGCAACCCGAAAACAACATAAAAAGAGGTAACATCTAGATGAGAGTAACAATAATTAATTTTGATAAAAATCATAGTAACAATAATCAACTTAGTAATTTCTGTTACTCGTTCACCTTTGATTTGCATAGAATGTCTAACAAATTTTTAGTTTTGGACAGAATCATGGTCGATCAGTTACTGATACAAAAAATGACAATGAAAAGACAGCCAAACTTATTTCTTTTGATATTTTGTGAATGCAGAGATACCAATTTTCTAAACAATAAAATATTTCAAGGAACCTTTGACATATCTTATATTCGACTTTTTTACAAAGGACTATAAACTGAATAATGTACAGTCTCAGTTGCAGTTCCCATGGAGTCCAGACAATGCTGGAAATAGGATTTTTGCCACCAACTTATTACAGTATTTACAGGGACAAAGATGAGTTTCAGCTAAATTTTTAAAAGAAAGCATATTATAATTCAATATACTACGAAAAAACCATTGTCCACTTGATCATAACTGGCCATAACTCAAATCGATGGCGATGGAGAGAGAGTAGGACACACCAAAACAAGGCATGGTCCCAATGAAAGATTGAGACAATCTCCACCTCCATTCATCACTGGACAGGGATGACTAAATTAACAGTGGTTTTTCCGTAGCCCATTAACAAGTAGTATACTTTCCCAGCTTTTAGTTTAAGGATGTCATAAAGGTATATAGCAGGACCATCCTACATACTTGTTAGGAATGTTCTTGATCATAAGCGTGGTTCGTATGTCTTCTCCCCGCAAGATTCGATCAATGTCAAGCTCATACTGCTTCTTATTGTCAGCTTGATTAGAACTTGCCTCGTTCCTACGACTCCTAGCCCGCTCTGTGGGATTGTCAAATGGAGCAGGCATACCCATCATTGGGCTTCTTGGGGGGTACATGTGGCGATGTTGAGGAGAAGGCAAACCTAGATTTGGAGAGGACAATGAAGGATTCATATTGTTTGCACCATGATGCCCAAGCAAGTTATGAGCAGCGAGATCTATGGGATGCAAACCAGAGCTCCCAGCAAAGCCCACACTTCCAAGAGAACCTGGGTGAAATCCAGAAGCATCGGCTGATTCATTTGTATAACCATGTCTTCTGTCCCAAAGGGAGGGATTCATAACAGGTGCTGAACCCACATGGTGATGATGAAGAGAAAGAACAGGGTTTACGAGGTGGCCATCAGCACGAGGAAATCCATGCAATTGAGGGGGTCGACTGTGAACACCATTAACAAACGATGGGGAGCTTGACCACATCATGGGTCCTGGAGCATGAGGATGGTGATATGCATTAGGGTTTCCCCAAACAAATTGGGGTCCATGTAAAGGGCAGCTTCCATTTCCTGAAACACCAAGAACTGCCAGAGGGTCCGGGTCAATCTCATGACTAAGAGATAGTATAAGATCTTTATATTTAATCAAAACACTCCCAAGGCTAGAAATAGATTGAGCAATATTTAAACAAAAATTCATTCTTACAGAATATGTGATTAAAAATAAAAAATAAAAAAAAGCACAAAAGTCAGAGCAAATTCCAATCTTAATCATGCTTAAAACACACTTAGTAGCCCCTCACACATTGAATAGAAGAAATCACTAACAAGTTATAAGTACAAATATAAATCTCCAAAACATAACTCAACCAGTTCATTAGTGTCTACTTCAACCGAGACATGATTGTTCCAGGTATTGACTGCCAAAACTAACTCAAAAAATGCAGACATCATTCTCTTTGTTTCTCATGAATTCCACTAAAGAAATGCAAGCAGGCATTCTGCATCATAAGCTCCAGATAAAAGCAATTCAGTCTTGTAAGGAACGTAAAGAGTAGAGTAAGGTGTCTTTTACCGTTTTCATTCATCTCATAAGAATGATTGTTGAAGCCATTAGAACCCCTTGCATGGATTGCCCTGCCATCAACTCCTTCAGCCGGTCTGGAATTTATATTTCCAGCTAGGCCAGATATGGCACCCGGAGAATTATAGGGAACACCATTGCTGAGACCATTGTGATACTCTGGAAGCGAGTGAGGATGGAAAGCTGGCATGCCTTGAAAACCGAAGTTCATATTGTGGCCCACAGAATGGCTTTGCTCGCTGAGACTATTGTCATGGTTGGCAGCTGAAGCAACACTAACTGGTGAGGATAACGCATGGGGAACACTTGAGGAGATCCCATGATATGGGGCATCCATGTACGGACTTAAAGGTGCTTGGATGGTGGAATGCAGACCTTGGATAGCCCCGTTATCTAAGGAGCCAGGTGTAATAGTTCCATGTGGGAACGAACCTACAGGTTGGACAAGGACGTTGGTAGAGCTAATGATGTATTTGATGAATTAAAGAAGGGAAATTTTTTGAAAGACCAGGAGATATGGAAAATTTAACACTCTACAAATATCTTTTGGTTTAATTTCAAAATACCCATGAAAGAACACATGGCCTTCAGTTGGAATAGTTGCAAATGAGTAAATGTTAAATAGTTCATCACTAAAGAGTATTTTGGTAAATTTTCCATTAAAGAATTTAAAATGGTTGAAGTATACTATATTCAAGGGACTATGGATGGTCACCACTCTCTAAAATGATCAATGGTGATAGAGAGGGTGAGGACTACCAATGAGGTAATCTCCTGTTTTGGTGGTCCTGTCCTCCATCAGCAGTCCGCAATTCATGGATCATTCATTGGTGATGACCCCCAATGAATTATAGCTTCCCTTAGTCCATTAGATTATCAAAATACTTCTTCAAAACTAATGGACAAGTAAAAGTGGCTAGGGTTATACCATAGCATCCAGAAGGTGAGTTATCAGGAGGGCTTCCACTTGGTCGACACAGACCCGCCTCGTCATGCTCCAATTCTTGACATAATTGTTGCATCAAGCTGTTCAAAAAGAAAAAACTGAGAACACATGCAGATATTTAAGCATGCAAGACACAATGTTACAATGGCAAGCTGGAGAACAATAGAAGTTAAGATAGGACAAGCAAGAGACTTATAATATTGGGATGAATGGTCTCCAAAATGATTCCTTCAAGCCACAATTAGAAATAAATAAGACCAAGCTCATCTAATAACTTCCAATTATTGGAAGAAGTTCGAATAAACCATGTGATGTACTATTAGCACGGGCACACGCACAATATGACAAGTCACATGATTTGATGACTGCTCTTATGAAAAAATCTCAATTAAATTATTGTAAAATCACATAGAGAATAATCATCCAGAACATAAGGGAAAGCAATGGTTCGGCAGTACCACCGTCTTGCACCACCAGGACGACTTGGCTCAAGCTTAATCCGCTTCCCAGCAATATCACTCCTATTTAAAGCACGGAGAGCAGCTTCGGCTGCCCTAACATCATAAAATTCAATGAACTTGTGGTGACGCTTGTGAGGAGTCTCACGAATCTGTTGTGGCAAAGACAATAGTCATAAACATCACCAGTAGATTAGTACTGAACAAAATATATTAGAGCCGAGATGATGAGAAAATAAGGACTCACCTCTTTGATTTCACCATAAACACCAAATATTTGGCGAAGATCATCATTTGAGACAGAAGAATCTAGGTTAAAAACCACTAGTGTGCCTTGATTAATATCCTTTTCTGACGGGTTATCCTGACAATAGACAATGTTGAACTAAAAAGTTAACCTCATAGATGCTGTTCATATACATTAAAACAATTAATTCAATTAAAACAACAGGGATTATGTTTAAATCTCTGAAGAACAAAATACAAAACAGCCAAAATGATGAACAGAAAGTGCATTCTCAAAGTCAAACACAAAAATTCCCTATAACTCGCATAGAGAAGTGACAATCAAGGTAAGAAAGCGATAAAGGACGGGAAATTGGGACATTAGTGAGAATCAACTAACCATGGGCGAGGTAAGTAATGTCAAAGCTGAAAATGTTTTCAAATTTAATAACATGTTTGAAATATAAATGGCCATACTTCCACAACTCAGAAAAAAAAAAAACAGATTGACCATACGCAATGTCACAAGAAGATATGGAAGCACTGGAGGTTGTGATCCATAATCAAATAGTTCAATAATATTTTGTCGATCATATGTTTCCTGGAATGAGATGGCTGACTGTATTAAGAAAGTGGCAAAAGAAGTTTTAGGATAATCTAAAGGGAAAAGAAATTCCGATAAGGAAATTTGGTGGCGGATTGATGAGGTTCAGAAAGCCATTAGCAAAAAACAATCATATTATTAAACTTGGCAGTGTAATAGAAATGATTAAAACTTAGAGAAACATAAAAATACTAAGAAAACATTAAATGAATTGTAAGTAAGTTAAACTTAAGGCATATGATAATATATATAATAAACTGGGAACAAGAAAATGTGGAAAAAGATATATTCAAATTAGCAAAAATGATATAAAAAAGGTGTAGGGATTCAGACCATATTAAATGCATTAAGAGTGATGATCGAAGGGTCTTGGCTAAAGATGAAGAGGTCAACAAAAGGTGAAAAGTTTATTTTCAAAAATTATTGAATGATGAACACAATGGGAACATAGCGGTAGAAGGAACCGTTGGCATAAACGAGGGTGGAGGTCATAGATATATAAATAGGATTAGGATATTGGAAGTGAAAGAAGCTTTAAAAAGGAAGAGGATAAGTAAGGCTTTAGGACCAGATAGTATCCCGAAAGAGGTTTGAAAGTGTACGGAGGAGATTGGCATTGACTGGCTGACCAAGTTGTTCAACAAGGTATTAAGAACCACGAAAATGCCAAACAAATAGAGAAAAAATATACCGACGTACAAAAATAAAGGAGACAAACAAAATTGTGCAAGCTATCAAGGGATTAAACTTATGAGCCATACTATGAAGCAAGTATATTACAAAACCATTTTAGTTTTATGCCAGGGAGGTCAACAACTGAGGCTATTCTCCTACCTAGGTAACTGATTGAGAAGTTAAGGGCGAAGGTAAAAGACTTCCACATGAGCTTTATTGACCTAGAGAAAGCTTATAATAGGGTACCTTGAGATTTGATTTGGTGGGTGTTGGAAATGAAATGAGTCTTCATATACCACACATACTTGGTGAGAGATATATACGATGGGGAGCTAACTAGTGTACGAACAACTAGTGGAGAGACGAGTGAGTTTCAGTGATAATATGTCTACATCAGGGGTCAACATTGAGGCCATACCTCTTTGTCTTAGTTATGAATGACTTAACTAGGCACCTACAGGATGAGATACCATGGTGCATGTTGCTAGCAGATGACATAGTTTTAATTGATGACACCCGAAACGGTGTCAACACAAAGTATGAACTTTGGAGGGATGCTTTAGAATCTAAAGGTTTTAAAATTAGCTGGTCAAAGACATAGTATATGGAACGCAAGTTTAACAATAATAGGAGTATATGGAATGCAAGTTTAACAATAATAGAAGTAAAAACAAGGAAGTAGTTAAGATTGACGGCCAGGAAATGCCAAAAAGAGCGCTCTTTTGATATCTTAGATTGACAATCCATGAAAATGGATAGATTGGGGAAGATGTTGCACATAGAATTAGAGCTGGGTGTGCAAAGTGGAGATGTGCAACTGGAATTTTATGCAATCGCCGCATTAACAATGAAGTTGAGGGGCAAATTCTACAGGACAGTTGTGAGACCCGCTTTGCTCTATGGACCGGAATGTCGGGTGATCAAAAAACAATATACTCATAGAATGAGTGTAGCAAAGATGAGGATGTTGAGATGAATGAGTGGCAAGACAAGAGGCATAGAATTTGAAAAAAAGACATTCGGGAAAATTTAGGTGTGGTAGAGAGAGTAGACTTAAGTGGGCTAGTCATGTGTGCCGCAAATCCAATACATCTATTAGGAGGTGGGAGTTAGTTCAAGTGGAAGGTTCAACAAGGGCAAGGGTAGACCCATGGAGAAGGCTTTGACAATGATGATGATGATGTTTCCAATTGTATATCTTTTGATGCCCATCCTCACAACAAAAATATACACAAGAAAGGGCACCACTGAAGCCCCACATCAATCAAAGCCCCAACAAGGGGATATGGAAAAAAAGGATGCAATCCAAATTTTTCCTTTTATTGAAACGAGACATCCAGAAAACTTTATAGTTGCATAGCGAAGAAACAAAAGAAAATTGGAAGGTAACAATAATGTAACACAACAAAGCATACCTTTGGAATTGAAAAGTGTATGTCAAGTTTTCGACGCCTCAATGGCTTGTTCTGAAGAGCTCTCATTGCATTGCGTGCTGCCCTTATGTCATAGTAAGAAATCATTACAAAACCACGATGCTTACATGCAGTGTAGAGTGTACGGATATCACCATATTGCTGAGAACATATAGAGAACAATTGTCAAGAAAGCCAAGACTTAGTGACCTCTTGATAGGCAGAAAGACTAAAGAAATCATGCCATGTTACTAGGAAGGCACCTCAGCAAGAAGTAGATATGACAGGATCTAAGCTATGCTGCTATTCACAAAATAGCACTACAACCAACTAAAGCCGGTACATATCATTAAAACGGAAAAGGATCCAAACCTCAAAAAGATCCCTTAGTTCTGCATCTTCAACACTGCTGTTGATGTTTCTCACAAAGAGAGTTCTTGAAGGATGTTCACCATAAGGATGTTCTCCAGCAAAAGAGCTACTATTTGATCCACCCTGCTGACCATTGGGAATTCCACCAACAATATCTGAGTTCTTGCCCCCTCCATAGCAGTCATCACCTTCTAGTTCCATTCCACCTCCACTGCTAAACAAATCAAACTCCTCCATATCCTCTCCATTGCAGGGTGGGGCACTGAAATCAATCTCATCAAGAACTCCAGAAAGCAGATCATCATCGTCAGGAAGAAGGTCACCAATTGCCTGGGCCTCCATTTCTTCTAGAGATTCGAAAGGCATATCGTCCTCGAGGTGGGGGCCAACTGCATCAATAGACTGACCAACTAGGGCATCTCGTGACGTTAAACTAACTGCCAGAACATCATGTGCAGGTGCTTAGTACCACAAAAGCATTCCAAAAAAAACCACATCTCTTTGAATCATCTAGAAGTTAAATAGAATGAGAAATGTGCACATTAGAAACACTAAATGGTACTTATACAAGTTTAAGTTCGATTTGTCATTCAAATCAAGGGTCCAAAATAAGTTTTGGTACGTATATCTCCAAAATGTTCTTCAATATTACATTCAAAGGGGTCAAAAACAGAAAGGGCTAGAAGTAAACTCCGTTAGAAAAAGCTAAGGGCCAGTTATCAAGATAAGAGAAAAGAAATAACTTAATGCCTTAAAGTGAGATGACTTGCCAAACAAAGAAAATAAAATAGCACTCACGTTTTTTCTCAAATATCTCTGAAAAGGAGCTTGAGAAGAGACCATTCTCAAAGTGGGCTTTTTGTGCATCTAGCTTCTCTGAATTTCCTCCCACAAAAGAAGCAGCAGGTCGTACAAGAAAGTCTGACCACAATCCCAACTCCTGTTCCATAGATTTCCAAGAATTCGTGGACAGAGTTGCTGTCCTCTCTGCCCCAACCAGGCGTCCTTCAACAGCAAGCTTGGGTTTCTGACCTTTAAAAGCATAAGGCCGAGCAAGCTCTGAAAAATCCACAGAGTGGGCTCCTATTATACCAAATTTCTGTAGAGGGGAGGAGCCAACTGCTTTGCTGCCTGACATTACTGACATTTCTTCTGACCTTACACCTGAAGTAAAATCAAGAAACCCTCTGAATCAGTAGAAATTGCAACTCTATATGCTAATGCAATCATAGTCAAACAAATATATTATCATAAACTGCTGAGGGAATGAGCTAGAAGCAAGTGAAAAGGAAAGCTACCACTCAAAAATGAATTGACAACATATAACTTTTGATCATCTTAAATAAATAAATAAGTACATAAAGTAAAATTAAATAGGTAGAGAAAAAAAAAAACTAAAGAGTTCGAATCTTCAAGTTGAAAATGCACGGGATTCAGCAATTACAATCCGAATTGGAGCATATGCATCTAAAGTGTTGGCCAAACATCCCATAAGAAATATGTAAGTTAAATCAGAGAATACAGATGATGATAATGATGAGGACATCAGAGAATACAGATCCTTGGACTGCACAGCATATATATAAAATTTACGACAAGGATCCAATTAACACAATCTACCACAAGCCAGGTAAATTTCATGTAACGCGAACAAATCTAATTTCTTAAATAGCTTGGCATTATAACTACAAAGAAGAGTGTTAAAAGAGAACATCTTTAACTAGACCAGATACCTACAAAGAATAATATCAAAAGAGGATCACTGGTGATCGTGCATTAGAGAGGATGTGGAATGGAACAATAACGGCAAACCAAAGCTGGCAATTTTTTCTAGTAAAGGGTTTAGAACGTTGAAAATTACCAACTCCCATTGAGCACAAGAGGAAGGCAAAGTTCCATGGGAAGCAATCGGTATGGATAGGGTTGTATGTATATCATATTTGTCATTTTCTTGCTTACTCTCTAAAACAAGTTCCAGTGAGTTGTATACCTTGTCAACAAAAGGTCAAGGGCAATTCAACTTTCTGACGCTTAAATTATTTAAATTCATATAATAAGTGCTATGCAACGTTATTGATCTTATATTGGAAAAGAAATATGGTACAACAGCAAATTTTAGTCTTTATTTTGCTTTTTGTTTGGTGGTTCGAGCACATTAACTAGCTATTTGCTTTCTGGAGACTTTATGTAAAAAGAAAGCATCATACTTCCTAAAAAGAAAGAAAAAGAAAGTATGGCTCCTTTCTTAGTGGTGTGATATTCTGGGAAGAAGGGAAAAGCACACTTCCTCTTTCTTCAGCTAGACCAGACCTTCACAGTATTGAAGGCTTGAATGATGATAGCTCAACATTTGTTCACCACAATAATCATATAATCATTTGTTTCCATGGAGTTTTATATTCATGCACGCAAAGGAACTCATTTTCATTGTTTAACTAGAAAATTCTATATGAGATTCCAGGTGAAATGTCAACTCTGGTATCCATATTAAAAAAGAAAAAAATAAAAATTCATGTTTCAGTTTTACTTGGATAAGCACCCAGAGCATCTGAATGTTAAGGAAAAGATTTCCAAGTGAAATGTCTAAATATAGATAGGAGCTACACACTGCTCACCATGTTGATCTGACATTGATTCATGCTTCCAAAATCCCACTTGTCTCTGCAAAACAAGGTGTAACAGAGAAAGTCAAACAAGGAAGACAGTCTTCCATGTTCCCCTCAAAATGTGGCAACAGCAGAAGGCAATATCTAGGATGTCATGAGGCCAGAGATAATATAGAGTGAGAAGAGACAGCCAAAATAAAGGTACATTACAAAATGGTAGAAGAAGAGGGTACACTTGTTATATTTATAGAGACAATTGAAACTTTCTGCTAAAAAATAACTATCCAATAAGGTAAATGAACAATTTATAGACAAAAAAGGAATATTCAATGAAACAAAATAGCATGGATTTCTTCATTTGGTTTCTGAATCATAACGTTAAAATTGAAGGTAAATTGCAACAAAAAAAAAAAAATCACCTTTGATTTTACAAAATCTCCTTAAGATCAGAGTATAAAATAGAGAGAAGTATACAGTTATACACAAACATGCAATGGAAAGTAACCTATTTTAGCAATTTAATGGCTAATATAAGGGGTTTCTGGCAATTCAAACCTCTGCAGGGAAACTCTTGTCCTCAGAGAAGAAGGATGAAGCCACTGAAGGAGAGTAGAGAGAAGGCAGCTTCCTCTGGTCTGTCATCTTTTTCAAATCTGAACATCTGATGAAGACATTACATGCATCCACTTCAAATGGCATCATGCATTTTCAAAATCATGAACTATGGAAAATGAGTGAGACCCTGAGACCAAGATATGGTCCATGTACAGTAGAAAGACTTTTCAGGCGGACGAGTTTCTCAAATGAAGAACTCGCAATAGAACCCTGTTTCAAATCAACAATGAAAATGGAATCAGATTTATAATTCCAAAATTCTAGCCAATAATGCGATAAATTCATCTGCCCCTTCTCTAGCTCACCAGAATTTTCTATTAAAAGATAAAACAATAGAAACAAACAGCAAAAGGAACAAAACGATTAAGAAAAATCAATCAGAATTATGATAAATTCATTATAATTTTATGGCAAAGACAAGGAAATACTAGTTGTCTTGATCACTCGTCAACCAACAGAATAATAACAATAATGATAAGCATTGCAATGCATCCAATCCTTAGAACCGAATATCTGAGCTGGAAAGTGGACAAAGAGAAAAGGAAATTTGCAAAAAACAAAAATACATAAATCATTTGTCTCTGAATAATTCCAGCAATTGGAAATTTAGAATTAATATATAATCCAATGCATCTAATGTGTTGCAAGGAATTGTCTGACAGCTTCCAAATGAAAATAAATAGAATTCCACATATCTAGGGCAGAGATTCAACGGGACATTATTGTGAAGATCCAATTCCAAGAAATTTTCTGATTAATTAGAGAAATTATAAAAATCAGAAGTGTTGAAGCAGAAATGCTTCACTTAACCAATGAAGCAGCCATGGAGATCGTTGGGAATAGAATGCAGAAACAACAGATGGAATTCAATCAAGGATAACAGTGAGACAGCTAGAAAAGAATCAAACATGTTCTCAAAAAACCAAGTCTTGTAATAAAATAATCCATTAAGTCTGAAAACTGCAAGTCTGGTAGACAGATGATCAAAAGTGATAATGAAAAGTGCAAAATATAGAGTCTTGAAATAAAATTCAAGCAAATGTAAAGATATTCGACATCAGGATTACTTGGAAAAAATCAATTGCGGGCACAATGTTTCCATTGATGTGAGACATTTTGCAGATTTGGAAAAACCTGGAGAATTGCACTTCTTGTATCTGATAAACCTAGTTTCAGGTAAGAAATTCTAAAGCACGATCCCAGAAAAACCACCTCAGGCAATTCTTTTCTATAGACAAGAAAAAAATGTTTGCACCAAATTAAAAAGATCAAAAACATAAAAATTTATTATGATCCATAAAGGGTGTAAATACTTTCTAGCGAGGCCGTGAGGCCCATATGGAAACAGCAAATGATGTGATAGAAAAATTGGTGTACACCATAAAAATAATTCCTTTTTGTTTTCACAAAAGAGAGATATTCAACCCAAGATTGCTCAATTCTGATCTTTGGACACAACGCAATTCTGATAATGGAAATATCATGAATCAATGTAACGAATTTACAAATTAGAGTGTCCCATAAATGATCAGCCACACAGAAACAGAAGGCTTAGCAGGGAAAGATCACAAAAATTCAGAATTACAAAGAGTAGAAAAGGAGAGAGGAAATAAGAAGACCTCAAATGAACCACAAACAAGCACATCAATTGCAGCATCATTCACATATATTGGTAAATGGGGGGACATAGTGCAAGGAATCATAATGCAAATAAAGCGACAGCAATAAAATAAAAAAAATCAATTGGAATTTAATATCATGATACTGGATTGTTTCCAAAAACTAGTTTGAAGCATCAATAATCCCAATAGATCTCAGAGATCAAATACATGGAGAGGCGAAACCATAGGGGGAGAAATCGAGCAACCAGAGCCAGCCGAGAGACCAAACCTCATTAGAAAAAGCAAAATTCAGAAACAGGATTGGCCAGAAAGCCAAAATCAGGTTAAAAAAAACAATGAAAACTTCATTCATGAGGTGCACAATCTACTAGAAAATAATCTGTAAAATCAACAAACTGATCACAAATCAAAAACATTTACAAAACAAAATAAAAAAATAAAAATGTGCAGAGAGGAAAACTGTGTCAGAAATTCCTAATTTGGCACCATGAACAACCGGAACATTAAATTCAGATCATTCAGCCACGATAGGACCCGCACTCAGATGATCAAATTTAAAACCTGAAAAGATAAGTTCAAAAACAGAACAAAAAACGCACTCAGATAAAATCAAACAAAGGATCGCAACTTCACAGAGATCAGAATCTAAAACTCGCTCAGAAATTCAAAATTCTGAGCCAAACCTCGCGTGAGAACCAGAAAGCAAACACAAAAACCACTCCACAAAAATCAACCAAAATAATCCTTTCCAAAGCCACGGTGATCAAGCGTTGCAACACTCACCAGATCAGTATCTCGCCATCAATTTTCGGTCTAAAATTACAAGCCTAGAATTTTTCTTCCAAAAACTCCACGCCGACCTTAGTTTCCGGCCAAATCCCCGTTTTTTAAACTTTTCCAGTTAACTTTCCGGCCAGGTATGCAGTCTCTCAGTGTAACGAACAAAGCCTAAGCCATTTATTTAAACGGGAAGACAAGAAGAAGAAGAGGAAGGAAAAAAAAACACGAAGCATGGAATGGATTACGGCATAAGGCAAGGGGATCTTGGCATCTGTGCCGTGAAGGGGCCTCCAAAGCACAAGCCTTTTCCCTGCATTGCAAGGAACTTCAAGCTTCACGTCAAGGATTCGTTCATGGAGGTTTTCAGGCGGAATTAGGGTCTCTCGACCGGATACCCGCGAAAATGTAGCTTTTTCCGGCCGTTTCCGGCGAAATTCGGATTGGTTGTGAGGAGGCCCCGGGCTGCGAACCCTTGATCACAGGGGCCTCTCTCTCTCTCCAAATCTTCTCTCTTCTTTCTCTCTCTATTTTCTCTCGCGCTCTCTCTCTCTCTCTATTTCTCTCGCGCTCTCTCTCTCTCTCTATTTCTCTCGCGCTCTCTCTCTCTCTCTCTTCCCTTAGAGGGTGAGCTTTGTGTGGATAAACGTACGAGCAAGGCGGGCGCAAGAGACCGGTGGTAATTGTTGCCAAGCGGTTGCCCATGGTGTATGGAGTAGGGTGGACTGTACGGACATCCGGTGACATCGGGTAGACGCGCGTCTCGCGTTTGTTGAGAGGGGTTAGATATGGCATGGGTCTAACCGGCGTTGAGCCAGTTTTCACGTGGCATATTCTGATTGACGGGGATTGGGCTTTTGTTTTTCATCGATGACCGGTGGATCCTCGGTATTTTAGATTTTCAAAATTGGAGGGAGGGGTTTATTGAGGAGGGGTGGGATGACGGAAAGCGGACATTGTATTCCAACAAATGACTAAATGGTCCTCTTACACTTCTTGAGTTACCCTTACCAATGAGCGGTTGATGAAAGCTACGTTTGCATTTTGTGAAAATGACAAAAGGGTCCTTGTTTGTATTTTGATTTTTTGTTGCCCAGGTTTAAAAACACGATTTGGTGGTCCGGACTTCTCCTCTGAAGTTTTTAGTCAAGTTCAACATATCCGCAACCGGGATTCCCAAACTAGATACTAAAAAAAATTAAATTAAAAAAAAAAAAAAATAAGGGCCGATTTGGTCAAGTTCTCTAACAAAACTGGCCGTTCAGATAACCAACTAGAAACGTGTCATGAGGGAATCGGTTGGTCTGCATATAGCCTGCATTTATGGGAACACATTTTACATTTATGGCACATTTGATTCGTATAAAAATATTCTCACACTTAATCAAATGAGATAATTTTTTCATGTGAAAATATTTTTTAGAAAATAATTTCATGTGAACCAAGCATGCCATTACTCACTCATCCTAAAGTCCAACCTAGAATTTTGAAATTTTGCAACTCACTTTGTAATTATTGGATTTTGAGTTTCTAAGTACTTTAATACCACTCTTTGAAAAAACTTACCATTCCCTTTTTAATATGAAGGTGCTCACGTTATAAAGCATTTTATAATTGTACTCAATAAATTTTAGACATTTGTTTTGTAATATAATATTTTTTTAGTATGGGTATTTTTGGTCATTACGAAATGTGTGATATCATCTACATAAAGTGTAACATTATCCACACATATCACATTAGGGGCATTTAATACTCCATATGAGTGATGTCACAATCGTGTTGATAATGTCACACCCCTCTTAATAACAAAAAATATATTGTAAAAAAAATATTGTATTACAAAACAATGATACATATAT